CCCGCTGTGTCCCGCCCCATCCTTCCCCCCTTTCCTGTACCCTCCTCTTTTTCCCCTTCCCTCCCTCCTTCCCCCTCCTATTTTCCCCATTTTTAGGGACCCTCAGCTCCAGTAATGTTGTTACAGGTGCATTAGACCGGCCTCTGAAAGGCTGTAATGGCTGATGTTGCAGCCGCCGCCGCCGTTCTGCTGCCGGACCTGGCCTAGGCTAATACTCGGTGATCTCTGGGGCTCATCAGAGGTAATCGGGAGTTTGGCCAGGGTGAGAACGCCATGAACCCTCTCTTCTGAGTAGCGGTCCCTACATTATAGGCCTCAAAAGGGATGAAGCCCCTAGGGACATCCTGCCCTGCTCCCACCCAAAAATCCCTTAAGAACCAGCTACCAATTTTCACCAACACGTTCTGACTTATTGGGGTCTCGGGGACAAAGGAATAGAGTTATCTTTTTTGTTGTTGTTATAATAAACTTGTGACAAAACCCTAAATCCTTATTTTTTTAGGAGATATTTTTATTGATTTCAGGGAGGAAGGGGGAGAGAGAGAAACACCAATGATGAGAATCATTGATTGGTTGCTTCCTGCACGCCCCCTACTGGGGATGGAGCCCTCAACCCTCGCATGTGGTTTTCAAGGGGAATCCAAACGTGACCCTTCTGGTTCATAGGTCAACACTCAACCACTGAGGCACACTGGTGGGGGCAAAACCCTAAATCCGTACAGCTGACAGTTATGTTCAGGCTAGTGGCAATTCTGAAGTTATTTGCATTTGAAGTACAATTGATCTGTGCTTCCCCTCTAGTTCTTTTTTGTGTTGTATCATAGTAACACATCCACTAAAGACTCAGTTCCTAAGGACTTTTTAAAAGATGTTTTTATTGATTTCAGAGAGAGGAAGGGAGAGGGAGGGATAGAAACATCAATGAGAGAGAGAAACATCCATGGGCTACCTACTGCAAGCCCCCTATTGGGGATTGTTCCTGCAACCGGGGCATGGGAATCGAACTGGTGACCTCCAGGTGCATGGGAGGATGCTTAACCAACTGCGCCACACCCAGGGCAAGCCTCTCTGTTGCAGCCTCCTGCTGCTTAGCCACTCTATATAGCAAATAAATGGGAACCGGTTCATTTCGTTAGAATCGCTTAAAATCCACTTTTGATTTTACACATTGCATTTGCCAGACACCAACTCTACAAATACAGATTTAACTTTTTTTTTTTTTTTTTACCATCCACCAAAAAAAGACATTGCACCATAAATACTTGGGATACACAAGTTGTAAATGGTCCACATAAAAGAGCAATTCCTTAAGAATTTGTACTTCTTTTTTTTAAAAAAATCGGCTGTATCTTCCCTTGGTGTATATAGATGTTGGATACAGAGTATAGGAGAGAGGCTTAGTTGAATAAGCCTTTATTTAGGTGAATAAAATATAGATTTTCTCCAAGCAATGCCATGAATTTATACATATTTTTTCAGATTTATCAAATTATGGAAAAAATTAGACTGTCTCAGGGATTCTAGCAAGAAAATAGAAGTTCTGGTACCAGACACATTGGGTCCATTACTGCCTCTTGCCACTAGGCCAATAAGCAGAGACAAGGTTGAATTTTTTATGAGTGTTTATTTGAATTACCAGCAATAGGAGAGAGCAGTGTGCTTGGTACCTTAAAAAACCTCTCTAACATCTCCTGCCAGTTGGCTGCTTATATGGGGTAAGAAAGAAAAACAAGGTACAGTGGGGAGGGTGTAGCAGGATAAGGGCTGTAGGGCATGTGATCAGTGTGTCTGCTTCCAGCATCTTAGAGTCAATAACAGGGTAGTTAATCTTTTTACGATGTCAAACCAGCTTAGCCCTAGCTGGTTTAGCTCAATGGATAGAGCAGTGGTCAGCAAACTCATTAGTCAACAGAGCCAAATATCAACAGTACAAGGATTGAAATTTCTTTTGAGAGCCAAATTTTTTAAACTTAAACTATATAGGTAGGTACATTGTTATTAACTAAATTAGGGTACTCCTAAGCTGGCCTTTGCTAAAAACATCCTCAATCTGATTGAGGTACGTTCCACACTCGTCTTGTATACTTGTTCAGTCTATCTCCTTTCCGAAAACCGACTTCTGTGCATGGGCCACAAAGTTTCAATCGCACTGCATGTGCGCGCCCGTACATGGTATTTTGTGGAAGAGTCACACTCAAGGGGCCAAAGAGCCGCATGTGGCTCACGAGCCGCGGTCTGCCGACCACTGGGATAGAGCATCGGCCTGCGAACTGAAGGGTCCCAGGTTCTATTCCGTCAAGGGCACATGCCCAGGTTTGTGGCCTCAGCCCCCAGTAAGGGGCATGCAGGAGGCAGCCGATCAATGATTCTCTTATCATTTATGTTTCTATCTCTCCTTCTCCTTTCCTCTCTGAAATAAATAAAAACAAGATAAATAAAAACATATTTTTAAAAAAGAACAAAAACAAAAAACAGCTTAGCCCATTTCCAGAATTGGAGAATAGACAGCATTCCTGAGGCAAACTCCCAGAGGGGGGGTCAGCGTCTGGACATAGCAACCAGGTCAGGGTCCACTTTCTTTGATCAAGACAGAACAGACTTGATTAATTAATATCTATGAGCATTACGGGTGCCCCACCATTCCCTCTGAGCCCCTATCAGTTCTATGTAGTATGTTATATTTGTTCCCTATTAACCTTATTAATCTTTCTTGTCAACTACTTATCAGGGTTCTTCTCAAAAGGGTTAAATGATAAAGATATTTTTTTATTTTTTTAAAATATATTTTATTGATTTTTTACAGAGAGGAAGGGAGAGAGATAGAGTTAGAAACATCGATGAGAGAGAAACATCAATCAGCTGCCTCCTGCACATCTCCCACTGGGGATGTGCCCGCAACCCAGGTACATGCCCTTGACCGGAATCGAACCTGGGACCTTTCAGTCCGCAGGCCGACGCTCTATCCACTGAGCCAAGCCGGTTTTGGCGATAAAGATATTTTTACATACTCCCTGAAAGATAGAATACAGTATCAATTTTATAAAGCCTCACTAATTCAACTTCCTCCTATTAAGAATTTATTAAAATTGCTGTTAGACAAAACATAGATAACTTATGGAAAGAGAGTACTTACTAGTCACTGGCCATACCACTCTGAATGCCCGAGATCTCGTTTGATCTCAGGAGTTGAGCAGGGTTAGGTCTGGTTAGTACTTGGATGGAAAAGATGATACTTATTATGTTGTATAGCTCCTAATAGGCCTCAATAAATATTTTTTGCCTCTGAATACAAAGTCTACTATATAAAAGAGAATTTCTAAGCAAATAACAATGCTAACAATATGAAAAGAAGCAATTTTCTAACTTATAGCAAACTGCTTTCAAGCACATTAAAGAAAAAGGGGTAACCCCTGATTGGCTTGCCTGCCTCTCTCAGAGACAGGCACTTTGATAAGCCAATTACATATTATTTACCTCTATTACAAGAGGGCCAATTCTAATCTGGGCTTTGCTAACACAGTTGCCATGAAAAACATAATAGTACTTGTCGTTGTGGCTCAGTTGATTGGGAGTCATCCTGTGCACCAAAGGGTCGCTGGTTGGATCCCAGGTCAGGGCACATGCCCAGGTTGTAGGCTCCATCCCTGGGGTGCATATGGGAGGCAGCTGATCTCTCACATTGAGTTCTCTCTCTCTCTCTCTCCCTCTCTCTCTCTCTCTCTCTCCCTAACATCAATAACATACATTTTAAAAAATAAATAGTACTGTACACTATTTCTATACACTTTTATACTAAACACTCTTTTTCTAAGAACATGTAACCAGTTCTTTTCACTAAATGTCAATCTAAATCAGGGAGATTTTATT